TTCAGTTCTGTTTCATTTGGTGAACTTACAGACTCAGGAACGCTGCTTGATTAATGTCAAGTCAATTATTCCTGTAGGAAACACGGAGGATTCTTGTTATTCTTTCCATCAAGCAACTTAAAAATGTGTTTATATCATTTTATTTGACATTTTATTCGATGCAGAGATTGTAGAAAGTAACTCTGGAATAAGGAATCATTCTTATTAGAAACTAATGAAACAGAGATGTAAGTCAAGCCGACATCATGGTAAAGAGACCAGCAGCTGACGGTTAATCAACGTCTAAATGTTTGATGGCAAAAAACAGAAAAAAGCTCATTGAATTGACTTTAACACATTTGTATATGAATTAAAAGAGAAAAAAAAGCTACACTGCAGTCATACGGTAAATATTTTAGTCAGAAGATTATTCATCTGTCTCATGTTCATGCTGTGCTTTATTTTTTCTACTCTTTTGTCCTTCTGTGGTCAAATTGGGTGTGTTCCTGGGGTTTGGTGGCATCACTGAAGGTTACTTGGCAGGAGCTTCAGATTTTGTTGTGTCTGTTTAAACATGATAGATTGCATAAAAATGGTTGCTTTAAAAAAAACAAACCCTCAGCCCTCGAGGTTGCTGCTTGCTAAATGTGAGCTGTGCAGCTTCTTCTTCCACTCGTGTTGCACTGAGAGCAAACTACACTATCCTGCAGTACAACGTCTACAAGCAGTACACAGACAACCTGGACATGTTTATATATATATTTACTTTACTACCTTTTAGTTAATTTCTTTAGGAGTCCATTAAAGACCCAACAGCTGGAGGAAACGCCCATTCCCTGCTATAAACTCTCACTGTTCCTCAGTCTGAGTAGCTCTTCTCCCCCTGCATATGTTTGATTTATGAAATCCAGCATCGTTTCACCACATGGCCCACCTTTGACTGCCACATTCATTGTATCGTCCATTTGTGTTAACATTAAGCTCTTAGTTAACATAAATGATTCATGAGCCTGTGTCTCCTCTCTGCCGTGATGCTTCACAGTCAGGTCCCGAGCCTTCAGCATTTTCAGAAGAATCTTGTTCACACCTGCAGACTCACATCAGCGCACTCGTACATGGATATGTGTGAGTCTTACAGATTAGCCTTCTCTATTAAGGACAGATCCGTCACTTTCAGGAGTTTCTTTCCGCTGCTTGTCAGTTATCCCTGGTCAGTGCATGCAAATCATCTTCTCACTCAAAACAGCCAGGACTGATTCTGCCCTGAAGCTCTGCTCCCCTCTTAACCTCAGTGTTGAAGATGTACACCTGACCACATCCTGGTCCTCAGGTGTTTTGGTGCTTCAAAAATGCCAATTTAATGTTTACCACCCACATATGACAGCATCCGCCCCTCGGGCCACTTGTTTTTCTTACTACTGCCACGTAGTGTGAATCCCAACCTTGATATCTCCGGAAAGGCAGTCCAGCTGCTCTCCAAGGGTTTGTTTCCAGAGTG